CTGACAAGCCCCCAGGTGCTTCTAATGCCTGCTGAAGTTCGAGAACCAGTGCCCTAGACCTTGGAGCTCTTGAAGAACACTGGCCTGGCTTGGAGTGAAAGATGGCTAATTAATCCTTCCCGCTCAGGAGTGGTGGCATCCATTGCTTAGGGATTAGTTGTCGAAGGGAGCGGACCTGACTTGGGAAGTGTATTGAATGCATAAAAGGGTTCCTAGAATTATTAGGATTATAGGGAATCTCTGTATGAGCCACAGTGGGAACGAGAGAAACCTTTAGAGTTAGATTGAGTAGAATGGCTCCTATGAGGGAGGTTGCTGGGCTAATTAGAATTACTGAAGTGCTGAGAGGAAAGGTGACAAAGTGAAGAGTTTTTTGGGGCAGTGGCTCTCGCTGGGGTTGGAGGGGAGCTTTTCAACAACACTGACTGCTTCCTCCTCTCTCTCCGCCCCCTGCCCCTGTTCTGATGTGTCTTAAGATCTCAGAGGTCAGGTGAGAGTGTGTCTAGTTTGAAAAAGTTCCCAATGTAATTTTCATATGACATGAAAAAATCATTCAAAAGACAGAAAAGAAATGATTCTTAGACTTACTCCATGGTGACTGTGTTCATGTTTCTAATAGATATGCCGCCTTCAGTTTTGAATTAATCTCTTTCTTAGACATTGCTTTTAATAAATAGATGGTCACAGATTCTGGAGGTAACACAGTGTCCTTTTGGAGGCAAATTTTGAAGTGAATTTTGAACTGGAAGTGTACTTTCCAGTTTTAAAATGTAGTCTCAAGCTCTATTTTATTAAGTAAATATTTCAAAACCTAATCACTGAAGATCTATGTTGAGATTTGATTTTTTTTTTGATTTGGAAAATACAAGCCCTCATGTGCTCTTAAGCTTCTGTGAGCTTTCAACTGTGTTTGATATCCAGAAGTGACGGGTTAAAAGTTATTTGCTGCATGAGCTCTTCAAAATGGAAGGTAGGTTAGGCTTTTGAGCAGCTTTCTGTAGAGGAGAACTTCCAGTTGCCCTCATATTGCTTTGAATACACTTAGAAGCAGTCTGGACAAATCTTGTATCAAGAAACATCCCCATTATGATTGCGTAGGGATTTTATATCAATAGGAAGTCAGTTTTGCTGTGAAAGCCTCTCTGAGAATTGTTACAGTGCTAATGAGACTTACTGTTCATTGTCTCGAAGCCAGTTTAAGGGAGACCCCTAAATATCCTTGAAAAATTCTAATCGTAGCATGATCTTTAGGGGCTCTATTTAGACTGCTCTTATTTTTTTTAATCCAGGGATTGAATAATCTTTGAAATAATACTGACTGAAATAATGAAATAAATCTGTTTTCTTAATTGAAATATAATTGATTTACAGTATTATTAGTTTTAGGTGTACAGCATAGTGGTTCAGTATTTTTACAGATGATACTCCATTAAATGCTATTACAAGATAATGCTATCATTTCCTGTGCTATATTCTGTATCCTTGTTGCTTATCTATTTTATACATAAGTTTTTATCTCTTAATCCCATATCCATGACTTGCCCCTTCCCCTTTTTCTCTCCCCTCTGGTAACCACTAGTTTGTTTTCAGTATCTGTGAGTCTGTTTCTGTTTTCCTATACACATTTGTTTGTATTACTTTTAAAAAGTCCACGTGTAAGTCATATCATACAGTGTTTGTCTTTGATTTATTTCACTAAGCATAATATTCTCTAGGTCCATCCACATTGCTGCAAATGGCAGAGTTTCCTTCTTTTTTATGGCTGAGTAGTATTCCATTGTGTATATATGTACTACACATTCTTTATCCACTCATCTGTTGTTTAGGTTTCTTTCATATCCTGGGTATTATAAATAGTGGTGCTGTGAACATTGGGGTGCATCTATGTTTTCGAATTAGTGTTCTCATTTTTTTCTAGATATATACCCAGTAGTGGAGTTCCTGAGTCATGTGGTAGTCCTATTTTTAGAGTTTTGAGGAGCATCCATAGTGGATGCACCAATTTACATTTCCACCAATAATATACAAGGGTTCCCTTTTCTCTGCATCTTCTCCAACATTTGTTATTTGTAGACCTTTTTTTAAAATTATTTCTTTGGCTGCGTTGGGTCTTCGTTGCTGCGCACAGGCTTTCTCTAGTTGTGGCGAGTGGGGCCTACTCTTTGTTGAGGTGTGCGGACTTCTCATCGCGGTGGCTTCTTTTGTTGTGGAGCATGGGCTGTAGGGTGCGCGGGCCTCAGTATTTGTGGTACGCAGGCTCAGTAGCTGTGGCCTGAGGGCTCTAGAGCGCAGGCTCAGCAGTTGTGGCGCATGGGCTTAGTTGCTCCATGGCATGTGGGATCTTCCTGGACCAGGGCTCGAACCCGTGTCCCCTGCATTGGCAGGCGGATTCTTAATCACTGTGCCACCAGGGAAGTCCCTGTAGACATTTTGATGATAGACATTCTGACAGGTGTGAGGCCACCATTAGCCTGGTACCAAAATCAGACAAAGACACTACAAAAAATAACAGGCCAATATCTTTGATGAATATAGGTGCAGAAATTCTCGACAAAATATTCGCAGAACAAACCAACAGTATGAAAAAAGGATCATACACCATAATCAAGTTGGATTTATTCTAGGGATGCAAGGATGGTTCAACATTTGCACATCAATCAGTAAGGTGCACCACATTAACAAAAGGAAGAATAAAAATCACACGATAATCTCAGTAGATGCAGAAAAACCATTTGACAAAATTCAACATCCCTTCATGCTAAAAACTTTCATTAAAGTGGGTATAGAGGGAACATATCTCGACATTATAAAGGCCATTTATGACAAATTCACACTGCCATTATACTCAGTGGTGAAAAGCTGGAAGCTTTTCCTCTAAATTCAGAAATAAGACAAGGATGTTCACTCTCAACACCTCTATTTAACACTGTATTGGAGGTCCTAGCCATAGCAGTCAGGCAAGAAAAATAAATAAAAGGCATCATCTAAATTGGAAGGGAAGAAGTAAATTGTCACTATTTGCAGGTGACATGATACTTTACATAGAAAAACCTAAAGTCTTCACCAAAAGAACTATTAGAAGTAATAAGTGAACTCAGTAAAGATTCAGGATACAAGATTAATATACAGAAATTTGTTGCTTCTCTATACACTAATAATGAACTATCAGAAGGAGAAATTAAAAAAAAAATCACATCAAGGGACTTCCTTGGTTGTCTAGTGGTTGGGACTCCAAACTTCCACTGCAGCAGATGCAGGTTTGATCCCTGGTTGGGGAACTAAGATCCTGCATGTCATGTGGCCAAAAAATTAAAAAATAAAATAAAATCACATCAAAAATACTAAAATACCTAGGAATAAACTTAACCACGGAGGCGAAAGACCTATACTCTGAAAAGTATAAACACTGATGAAGGAAATTTAAGATGATTCAAAGAAATGGAAAGGTATCCCATGCTCTTGGATTGGAAGAATTAATATCAAAATGACCATACTGTCTAAAGCAATCTATTAGATTTAATGCAATTCCTATCAAAATACAACATTTTTCACAGAATTAGAACAAATAATTCTAAAATTTGTGTGGAACCACAAAAGATCCCTAATTGCCAAAGCAATCTTGAGAAAAAGGAATGAAGCTGGTGGCACCACACTCCCAGGCTTCAGACTATACTACAGAGCTACAGTAATCAAAACAGTATGGTGGGCTTCCCTGGTGGCGCAGTGGTTGAGAGTCCACCTGCCAATGCAGGGGACACGGGTTTGTGCCCCGGTCCGAGAAGATCCCACATGCTGCAGAGCGGCTGGGCCCGTGAGCCATGGCTGCTGAGCCTGCGCGTCCGGAGCCTGTGCTCTGCAACGAGAGAGGCCACAACAGTGAGAGGCCTGTGTACCGCAAAAACAAAACAAAACAAAACAAAAAAACCAGTATGGTACTGGCACAAAAACAGACACATAGATCAGTGGAACAGAATAGAGAGCCTGGAAATAAACCTATGCACCTATGGTCAGTCAATCTTCAACAAAGGAGGTAAGAATATACAATGGGGAAAAGACAGTCTCTTCAATAGATGGGTCTTCATTTTCCCTTCTTTACTACCTTCTCTGTCCTTCACCTGAGAGATGCACCAGACAAATTTCCCTTCCGAGAACCTGCTCTGCTCTTCATGTCTCCGTGTGAATACGTGTCCTCTTCTCTCTGGCTAGAATTTTCTTTACTTACTTTTTCACCTTACTTTCCCACTCACCTTCAAAAACCGACTCAATTATCATTTTCCTTATGTAGCTTTTGTTGACTTGCTTTTCCTGCCTTTCCAAGCATAATTGAGCCCATTTCTATGACAACACATTAAATTCTATGAGTTTATTTATTTTAAGTTTCACCTTTGATACTCTATGAGCAGTTGAGGAGTAGCTCAGGGGTCTGATTACCTTGGTTTGAATTCTAGCTTTGCCATTTACTAGCTATATGCCTTTGAGCAAATTACTTAAATATTCTGTGCCTTAGTTTTATCACCTATAAAATGGGGTTAATAATAATACCTTTCATATATGTTATTTGGAAGGATTAAATGAGGTAGTCTTCAGATATTCTCAGATCATGTTTTTCACATACTAAACAATAAACAAATACTTACTTTTATGACTATTTTTCAACCCTTAGCTTAGTGTCTGCACAAAGAAGGCTTATCTTAATGTTTTTTATTAAAGTTTTTCTGTGTAGACTCATGAATTATTTTCTCATTTTAGTTAACTCATAATGCATATGATCATTGTAAGAGTTTCTAATGTTTTACAGCAACTTAAGTATTTATTGGTAGCTGGATTATTGTTTTAATTTTACATGTGTTGAAATTGCCCAAATTTCTTATGCCAAGGTAAGTAATGAAGGAGCAAGGTAAACACCTTCTACTCCTTTCCACAGAAGTATTTGTTCTCTTTTGGGGCACTGGTTCATGGGCTTGGAGTAGTCTGATGGATCTGTTCTTCTGTCCCTGCAGGCCTTGTGTAGAGTCACTCGCCATTCTCCTACTGCCTTCCAGAATGTTATTGAGAAGGTGGGACTGACCTCAGTAATAAACACCCTGGCCTCTGCCATCTGCAGAGTCCAGCAGTACCTGTTGACCTTATTCAGTGCTATGCTGTCCTGTGGGATTCATCTTCAGAGGCTAATCCAAGAAAAGGTTTGACCTATTACTCTACTTTAAAAATTGTTGTGTTCTCCTACAATTTTAGTGGCTCAGTAAGCAATGTATCTCTGTAGAATTTATTTTTCATCTCAAGGGGCCCTTTTGAACTTTGCCAAACCTCTGTACCACAGGACATTCATCTGAAGATGTTATAAAGTCTTTTAGTGATTGAAATAGAAATCTGTCTGCTTGTCCCATTTTAGTAATGAAAAGTTAGAAAATTTATGAGCCCTTCTTACATGCTAATATTTCTTATGCCTCCTTGTCGTCAGCCCTCATCTCTTTTCCCATATCCCTTGCCTGCCTTAAGGAGGGGTCCTTTTATATTCTCTGCTTACCCTGATTCATTTTTATTCCTTTCCTTGTCCTAATACCCTGCCGGTACACATAACCTTCAGAGCTCCCTTTCTCTTGTTTTTAACTTAGTCTCCTTCCAATCCTTTGATATTCCTTTATTTTATGGAGTGTAGAGTTTGTAAGTATTCAATTCGTATCAGAAAACTACATAGCTACAAAGAAGTCCCTGTAGTAGCTTTCCTCAAAGTGTCTTCTCTAGCGCCTGCTAAGGAGTGATCCCTGGACCAGAAACATTGCATCACCTGGGAGCGTGTTGGATACACAGACCCTCAGGCCCCACCCACACCTGCTGAATCAGAATTGACATTTTAATGAGGTCTTTTGCGGATTTGTTGGAAATTTATGGTTGGAGAAGCCCTGCCCTTGAACATTAGTGTTCAGTGAGGTGTTAACAGGTGAAAAAAAGTGGACCATGGTTATATACACATTTGGAAAGCAATGAGTCAGACATATTTTCAGTTGTACAACATTTTCCACTTTTTCGTGTGCTCATGTATATTATGAATCTTCATGAGGGCAGTGTAGTATGCAGTATTCTTTATACTTATTGGAGCAATTACCCTTTTTCTGAGGGGAGATAACTGTCAAATTGGAGTTTTGTACAACATGGTGAAGGTAACACTGCTAGGAAGTATGGAATGGGGCCACTTAAATATAGTGTTTGCCATGTTTCTCCTGCATGAAATGCAACACGTTAAATTTGGTTTTTTATAAAACTAAAAATTTCAGTAATTAATAATTGTCAGGCTTACATAATAAACTTGATCTTGAAAGTCAAAATAGAAAGCAATCCATTTTTTGCCTTTAATTAATCTGATTTAATTCTGTGAAGAAATTTGAGCCTCAGAGAAAGTATAGTCTGTGTCTAATTTTTTGCTATTAAATTTTCCAAGTCATTGTATTAGAAAAAGTACCACTTGGGTAGTTTTGCTATGTAAATTGTGGTAAGAGAGGCTGAGAGTTTTATTTTTCTCGGATTTATTGAGTTTAAGATATTTCACAAAGGTAGTAAAATAATATGCACTAATTAATATGACTTTGTAATTGTTTTATAATGTTTAATGTCCCATGTATCTTAAATAAATGATTGAATAATTACATGTGTTAAATGAGAAATAATCTTTTGATTTTAACTAATATTGGCACTTAAAAATTTTTTTAAAATTCTGGTTAAAAACATAAAATTTACTGTTAACCATTCTTTTTTCTTTTTTTTTTTTTTTTTTTTTGTGGTACGCGGCCTCTCACTGCTGTGGCCTCTCCCGTTGCGGAGCACAGGCTCCGGATGCGCAGGCTCAGCGGCCATAGGTCACGGGCCCAGCCGCTCCGCGGCATGTGGGATCTTCTCGGACTGGGGCACAAACCCGTGTCCCCTGCATCGGCAGGTGGACTCTCAACTACTGCGCCACCAGGGAAGCCCTGTTAACCATTCTTAAGTGTACAGTTAGGAGTGTTAAGTAGATTCACATTGCTGTGAAACAGAGCTCCAGAACTCTGTCAACTTGTTTAACAGAAGCTGTATATACATTGTATATTTTGGGTGGTATGTTTTAAGACTCTGGATTTTATTTAAATCTTCTGTTTTAGTAGGCCTCCTCTGACACCGAACTGGCAGAGGAAGGATGGTGATGCTTTGTTCCTTCCAGGTTGGGGTGAAAGTCCAGGTTCCCCTGTAGACTTCTCTTGACACCCGAGGGGTGTGGTAGAGCCCCTCCTTACTGCTGGGCAAGGGTGGAAATCCAGGCTTTCCACTGGACTTCTTCCTATGCCCCCCTGGCTGGTAGGGGGAGGGCTCCTCATTATTCCTCCACTGACACTGGTTGGGTAGGGGTGGGCGCCCCATTCCTGGTGGAAGGTGGTAAAGTTGAAGGCTTCCCACTTGCCTCCTCTGATGCCATCCCAGCAGAAAGAAGGAGGGGAACGTGATTACTGCTATAAATGCTTGGAGGTCCAGGCGTCCCATCAGTATCTCTACTGATACCATGGTTGGGGCCAGGGGGCCTTGTTATTGCTGGGTTGGGATGAAAGTCCCAGCTCTCTCTTGGTCCTTTCTATTTCCCTGGCAGGGAAGAGTGTTGGGGTGCCTTGTTACGGTCACGTGAGGGTAGGAGGCTAGTCTCTCTTCTTGCCCCTTGCTGAAGGGGCCATCTTCTTTCCGTGGTGTTCGGCTAGAGTAGAGTAGCTATTGTCTTAATGGTTTTGGTCTTTCCACGCTGCCCCTTTCCTGATCCTTTGGCTTGAGAGAGCTGATTTTTCCTGTGTATTTGTGTTTCTGTGCTGTTTGGCTCCTGGATTATCCAGCACCCAATCTGGGATGTATGAGGCAGAGAGAAAACCTAGCAAACTCAGTGATATATTTATTGATCCTCAGGTGCTGAGGCCTCTAACCATTCTGCATCTTTTCTGTCTCGTCCTATAATCTTTAAAATGTATCTACGGCCACTGAGTAATATACAGTGAATTGTCATTTAAAAGGTAAGGTTCTATTTTTTTAAATTAAAACAATTTATAGCGAACATTTATTATAGGCCAGACACTTAGTGACTTATAACCCTGGGTTATTCTCAAATGAGACTTAGTGTGTTGAGTGATTTTGTCAAGTTCATGGAGTTTATAAATGCTAAAGCTGATGCTCAGGCCAGGCAGTAAACAAGGAAACAGAATTACTTTGGATAGTGTTAGTGCTCTGAAGAGCATCACACAGGATGATGTTGATAGAGTGTCTTGCAAGGGGAAGTGTGCAGGGAGTGGAGCCAGACACCATTTGCTGGGAGGGAAGTCAGGGAGGGCCTCTCTGAGGGGGTGAGGTTCCAGCTGAGCCCTCAGTGACAAGAAGGAGTGTGCTGTGTGAACCTCTGCAGGAAGAACTTTGTAGTTCAGCTTCCCTGAGGTGTGAGGTGTCATGGGGAGACCCAGGAGGAGAAGGAAGGCCAGCAGTGCTGAACGGAGTGAGCAGTGAGGAGGGGACATAGAAAGAGGCTGAGCAGTAGGAAGAAGACCCGGCTCATGTACGGCTGTGATACTGGCCTTCCTTAGGGGTTTCGACACAATGGCCATTGTTTTATTTTTACTTAAAGAAAAGTACAAATATTTGTATATAGGTGTGTGTTTTAGGGGCAGGTTTACCAATCTTAGTATTGCTAATTGTGTTTTTTCAAGTGCTTGGTTGTTAATGGGCTAGAATGAGTGAAAGAGGAAGGGACCCAGGAACAAATACCAGGCTTATTGCTTCCTGCTGGACAGGGAGAAAGAACTGCACCTGTTCTTTTTGGGGGATTGATGCCTCTATATGGTGATATTTTTTTGTTGTTGAAATTCAGTCCCCAAAAGAGGCCCATGCCATTCCTTTTAAATAAGAGAAATTACTATTTACTGCAGAAAATGTAGCAGAACCTAAAGAAGAAAACAAAATCGACTGTAATCTCACCACCCAGAGCTAATTACCATTGCCATGTGGGTTTATCTCTTTTTAGCCTTTGGTCCGTATGTCTATGAATTTTATGCATATTTATACAATTACGATAAAAATGTGTCGATTTATCATTTTCATGAATATGTCATTAAATATACCGTAGGAACATTTAAAAAATTACTATATAATTTTTCATTTTGTGCCACTATGGTAACTTAACCCTTCTCCCACTGTTGACCTGTTTGCCTCTGACTTTTTGGTTTGCACTCACCCTGATGCAGTGAGCATCCTGTTTACATACAACTTTTTTTTTTTTTTTTTTTTCGGTACGCGGGCCTCTCACTGTTGTGGCCTCTCCCGTTGTGGAGCACAGGCTCCGGACGCGCAGGCTCAGCGGCCATGGCTCTCGGGCCCAGCTACTCCGCGGCATGTGGGATCTTCCTGGACCGGGGCACGAACCCATGTCCCAGGCATCGGCAGGCAGACTCTCAACCACTGCACCACCAGGGAAGCCCTACATACAACTTTGTGTCTGCTGCTAGTAGAGTACCACAGGTGTTATGCACACTTAGAAGGCTGTGCATAAACAATGCTAAATTGTTCTCTAGAAAGGTAGTTGATGAGAGTACAATTTACTTGTGATGGTGTGAAAAGTGTTCACAGCCATGGTGACAAGGGAACTCTTTTGAGTTACAAATCATGTGTTCTGCATATTCAAGTAAATAGAAAAATTGGGCAAAACAAAAAGTGACAAACTGTTTTTCTACCCTGTTTTCAAAAAAGAAAAAACAAATGAAACTCTTAAAAGGATACTTTCTGTACCCGTGGTAGGTGGTCCTTTGTAAGTAATTCTTGCATCATCACTAGATGTAGGGAATTGATAACCTTTTCACAATTCAGACACTTGAATGACTCTCAGCGAGAAGCTTCTGGAAGGCCTGACCAGGCATAAGAGAAAACCTTGTAAGTTAGGTGTGAGTTTATTTACTAATCTTTGCCCTGTAAACTGATTTTTTAAAAAGAATTCCTGGTTTACTTTGTAAACTACTTTGTAGTTTTATTTTTCTCATTCTTCCAAGCTTATTAATGTGTCCTACAAATATTCGATCTTGAAGATCTGGGGCTGGAGGAGTTTGGGAGTGCATAAAGGTGTTTCCTGCCGTTTTACTAGGAAGACAGGTATTGGATGAGGTCATTGCAATTTCCCTTAATTATAATATCTAGA